TATATATATATATATATATATATATATATTATATACATTTCCGACCGTTGCAACAATGAGCCAGTTTTTTCAAGTTTTTTAAAATAAATTGCTACTGATGTGAACTTTTGTTGACATTATGTGCTTATAAGCACAGAACTTTACGCGTTAACGAAAACGATAATTTTACATTAGGTTTTGTCCTTTTGGTATGATGACGGACGGACAATTTATGAAAAAATTTTTTGGTCATTTGGTTTCATGACGGGCAATTTATGATACATTATAATGTTTCATAAATTATCCGTCATAAAACCAAAGGGTCAAAACCTATAAATATCAACGTTTTCTTTAACGCAAAAAGTTGCCATCAACATTGAATAATATCTCATAAAAAATAAAGACTTGGGTGAATTGTGATTTATTATTTAAAAAGCGAGTAAAATTTATTTCTCAATATATCTCATATTCCTGCCATTTCTCCATCTGGAGAAATTCTTTGAGCCTGGCCAACGCATTTTATGCGAATCTACCCAAAATAATTTGGCGTGTATATTTTCCAAAAAAGTTATTGTAACCTCCTTGATATTTACTTAATGTTTTCTAGCAAAGCCTCCAATTTCTTGCCTCTTTTGTGTACCACAAGGTTTTTCCTTCGTGCATACTACAGTGTAAGAGGATGCTATAATTTTACATTCCTGATTTTTGGGAGCAGAAGGGAATATCTCTATGATGTCCAGAGCACGTGATTTTTTAGTAGTTCGGAGGGCAGCACCGTCGCCACTGGGTGGCAAGCGGCAAGCTGCCACAAGCCGTGAGCTAATGGATACAACACGACAAAAGTGTCGATTTTCATTAAAACGTCATGTTCATTTTCCGTTGGAGGTTTTCCTCTCTAATGAGTTAAACATGTTTTGTTTAGGTACACTTTCTCGCAGTGAGTTCTTTTTTCTCTAAATAAAGTTGTATTTTTACGATAACCAAGCTGTGTCGGATAGTGGACTGCTGCAAAAGGGGCGAGGAGAGACAGAGTAAGTTATTTCAGATGCTCTACTGTTCCCAAATATCAGGAATATAAAATTAAGGCACCATCGGAACAAATAGGACAAAATTAGATATCTGCTTTTCGTCAGAATATCGTCATACACTTCCTTTAGCTACTTGAACATCATCCCACTTCAATGAGTTGAAAGCATTTCATAAATCAATAGCAATTAGAGCACAGAAGCCTTTCTTCTTGCCAATGCCTTCCCTTTCTGTTTTAGCCAAACCTTTTGTTTCTATAATGGCGTCCACCGTTGATCTTCCTTTCCGGAATACACATTGACTATCCCCTAGGGTGTTTATTCCATCCATATGCTTCTCAAGGCGCTGAAGTATTAGTCTTTCTAAGAGCTTCCAAGTTGTGTCAAGTAGACATATGGGTCTATAGGATTAGGCGAGTTCTAGTGCTTTTCTCCCTTTCTCATGAGGGTTACGTTCTGTCTCTTCCAGTCTCTTACAAAGCATCTCTACGCCATGCACCTATTGAAGACGCCCAATAAAAGGTCTGGGTGTTCTATGATCCCTTTTAATGTTTCATTTGGTATGTCATCAACTCCTGGGATATTCCAGTTTTCAGGCGTTTTCCTGCCGCCTGAAGTTCTTGAAGTGTGAATTTCTCTATTTCTCAGTTTTATTATCCCCTTTGGTTTCCCATTTGATTGACGGTCTTTTGGGGAATTCCCTTTTTATCTCCCCAACCCATGCTTTATCGGAGAGTCCCGGGATGCTTATGCTCATTTCTTAACTTCTTTACAATTTTGTAGGGTTGAGCCCGTGGGTCATTTTCCACTACCTGGACCTACTCCAACATTTTTGGTTGCTTTTCCTAATTTCTCTCTTCAGTTCTTTCCTCTTTCCTTATACTCATTTTGGAGGAGGCAGTTGCCGCGTGATCTTATCGTATACTTTTCCTTCTGGCTCGTACGCATTCCTTCCTCAGTTGTGCTATATCTTGGGTCTTCCAGTATTTTGGTTCTCCTCTTCCATTGTTTATTTTCCTCTCGGGCATCGAGGCATTGCAGGGGCAGGACCGCACGATCTGGTTCCTGGCATCCTCCGCTGCTCTCTCCAGTGATGAAAGGTGTGTTTCCCAATCCAGTTCCTGAATGGGTCAGGATTCCTCCAATGAGTTTTTAAATTTGTCTGTATTTAGTTTCTTTGTGTTCCATCCTTTTTTCTTCCCCAGGTTTGACTTTTGCCCAATCTTGCTAGACACCGAGAATTTGATGTAATTGTGGTCACTTAGTCTCCATATTTAACACTTCCCCATCCAAAGCATGCTCTGCGAGCGTTGGGGAGCTCATGGTTATGTCCAAGATTGAGAAGACATTTCCACGAAGTAAAGTATGTTTAATTCACATATTTATGACAATCAGATCGTTTCTGTCAGCAAAGTCACAGATTATATTTCCTCTCCTGCCTGCTCTCGACTCCCCAACTCCGGGGATTTACTATTAAAATCTCCCGCTACGATCACTTCCTCCTTGCCGTCTTTAGACTAAAATCAAGCTGTTCAAAGTTCTCTTCAAAATTTTCTATAGTGTCATTTGGAGAGAAATAACAGCTATAAATTCTTACGCTACTATCTCCACCCAAACGAATCCAAATCTCGTCCTCTTAGAGGCTTTTATGCCAAGTATATTATACATGATGATCGCTCTTCTTGAATTATTATTATTATTATTATTATTATTATTATTATTATTATTATTATTATTATTATTATTATTATGAGTCGGCTGAATATAAAATCTACTCCGGGTTGGTCGGGTGCGCTGATTTCCGGTCTGAGCCCTCTATTATGCCGACTACCGATTCAATTGCGTGTATGGTAGAGTGTCCATTTAGGAATCCGTGTTGCCGATGAGAGCCCTCCTGCTTCTTCTATTGCCATCAGTATCCGAGGTTAGATCAGCTTCTCGAATACCTTTCCAGCTGTGTCTAACACGCATGGTGAGAGCTGAAAATACCAAGCTTCAGGCAGTCGTTATACATGTCTAACATGAAGTGAGGACATGCGTTGTGCGCTGCCTTCAGCGCTTCGGTTGGTATGTTGTCGGGCCCTTGTGCCTTTCTGTTATTAAGAGATTCTACCGCCAGTGAAAGCTCGCTTGCAGTGAATAACGGGACATCGCCGGGGGGTACTTCAATTCTGAGGTCAAATCTTTCTTGGTGGGTGAGGAATATTGCATTCGCAATATCCTCCATTGTCGCCGTGTCCATAACAACGTTCGGCAGGCATCCGAATTTCTTCATTACAATTTTGTAGCCGAGACCCCAAGGATCGTTGTCGATATCCTTTATTGTACTCTGCCATTTACTTATTTTGCTTTGCTTGATGGCTCTCTGGAGAGCTTTCTTTGCTCTGTGGTGGTTAGTTGAGAGTCTTACAGCATCCTCACTTTCCCTGGCCCTTTGGCCCAACCGCCTTAATTGTAGGCATTTTTTTCTTAAGCCCGTCATCTCGTCGTTCCACCAGTAGACTGGTGCCCTATTATTCCGAGATCCTTTCCGAGGCATCGCCGCTTTACATGCACACTCAATTAGCTTCATGGTGGAGTTAGCTCTGTTCTCGACTTGAATTCTCGGCTATCCGGGAGACGCCGCGTCGTTGGCTGGGGTGCCGACGTTTCGCCCGACATTTCGCAGGCTTCCTCCTCCACCCTAAGGAAGCCTGCGAAATGTCGGGCGAAACGTCGGCACCCCAGCCAACGACGCGGCGTCTCCCGGATAGCCGAGAATTCATGGATTCGAGCCGCGGAAGCTTACGTACACATCTGTTCTCGACTTGTTGCATTCCCTCCCTCCCGCGGTATTTTTAGGCTACCACTTCAGCTCCGCTTGTCATTACCTCGGCGAACCTATCTTCATCTAGTTTTGCCACATTCCATTTTGGTTGATGTCGTGTTCTAAGCCGTAGATGATGTGTATCAAGGCGCGCCTGGTAGGCAATGTATTGGGGTGGTCGCTGACTGTATAGTCTTCAACCACTTTTCAGTCCTGCTCCTGCCCTATCATTCCTTCATAGGCAAATGATACATCAGGTATTTGTCTCCGTGTACTCTGGGAGTCTGAATGTAGATGTGTCCCCAACGTTCAATACCCACAGTCCAATCCTGGAGACAATTTCCATTATCCGCCGACCTCGCGAGTCTGGTTGCGGCATGCCCCACTCGATGGGTTTGGCATTGAAATCGCCAGCAACGATAAAACTGCTGCTCATCCTCCCGATCGTGTCTTCCAGGTCGTCTAATTTCTTCTGAAAATTTTCGATATGTTCGTTTGGAGTGAAGTAGCAGCTTACATATGTAACACTGGCTATCTTCACCCAAACAAACCCATCTTCGCTGTTTGTTCTTGTATTCTGTGGGTACTCAGATCGGGTATCCATATCGCTGCTGTGCCTCCCTTGTCGCCTAACCATCCCGAATCGCTTCTCAAGATTTGCACGTCTGCATTCATCTCGCCCCTGATTTGGGTTAGAAGATAGTTGGCCGTCCTGCTTCTATTCATATTTACTTGAAGTATGCGGATCCGGACGTCGCGCGCTGTACATACCATGCAACAAGTACTAGCAGTAGCTGCAGCAGTAGCTGCAGCGGTAGCTGCAGCGGTAGCTGCAGCGGTAGCTGTAGCGGTAGCTGCAGCGGTAGCTGTAGCGGTAGCTGTAGCGGCAGCTGTAGCGGTAGCTGTAGCGGTAGCTGTAGCGGTAGCTGTAGCGGTAGCTGTAGCGGTAGCTGTAGCGCTGTACATACCATGCAACAAGTACTAGCAGTAGCTGCAGCAGTATCTGCAGCGGCAGCTGCAGCGGTAGCTGTAGTGGTAGCTGCAGCGGTAGCTGTAGTGGTAGCTGCAGCGGTAGCTACAGCGGCAGCTGTAGCGGTAGCTGTAGCGGTAGCTGTAGCGGTAGCTGTAGCAGTAGCTTTAACAGTAGCAGTAGACTTTGGAGGCGGGGAAATGCTTTATGCACCTGAAGGTTTAGGTTTATGTGATTAGAACCACATCGCGAAATGGGAGGTGTGTGAGTGCAGAAGGTGAGTAATTTTATTCAGTTAACCTTTTGTTCAGTAATTCACTTGAAGTATTGTCCCTTGAACAAAACGTGTCAGTCGTCATCGGTCCCGTTCCAGCACAATGTTTTTGCGGCCGTAGAGATGCCGCAGGCGTGATGTTTTACGAAATTCCCAATGTTCACGGTACACTCGTAAAATAATCGCACGGGAAAATCCAAAGTTCTTCACGACCTTGGTTTCTATTCCCCATCTCTCTTGGGCCGACTATAGCACCACGTTCAAACTCACTTAAATCGTAATAACCCGCAATTGTATCAGCAGTAACCGATCTAACAACTGTACCAGACTTGTCTTATATCACAGTATAAGACTACTTATATTTTGAAATTCGATTTTCTCGATTAAATTTTGAAAGGGGGCAGTGATGATCAAGAAGTCGATTCAGGGTCTACAGCCAAATATGAACAAGCGGTTGAGAGGTATAATCATGATCGCAATAAGTACAAGAAAATATTAAATGAACTTTATAATTAATTATTTTATCTTATAGTGCAACGAAACAGTAATAAATTTAAAAATCGCTCCTCTTCTTTCGTATCCGTTGTTCCTCCTTAGAGCTAGGGTCGTAGCATCGATCTCCGAAAGTAAGGGGGCCCTTAAGAACGCCCGCGGACGGATATCAGCAAATATATATATATATATATATATATATATATATATATATATATATATATATATATATATATATATATATATATATATATATATATTAAATTGAACTTCATGTTTATTTTCTCCAATTCTACCAGCCATATTAGTATACCGATTACATTTAAAACTCTTAATGTCACCTTCATTGCAGAAAGGGACCCCATTTTTATTTTCTGCTCCGGGTTATCCCAGAATCTCTTTACGCAATTACTTAGGGTGTTTAGAAAACTCATTCAATTATAACTATGAATTAAATAGAATCTTCTATCACGGAAGATAAAGCTCTGCGAAAAGCACTGAAGAAACATTATGGGTAGGAAAAACGTGTGTGTGTGAGAGAGAGAGAGAGGGGGGAATAAATTGCTGATGAAATAAAATTGGAATTAAATTGTCCCTCGCTAATTTTTCCTTTCTGGTGATTACTATTATTTATTACTAATTTGTAGCTACATGTAAATATCATGTTATTTTCATGAGGACTAAGTCGTACAGTCTTCGTGGTTGTACTGTTATATTCCATGCTCGTTCGTGTACTTCTACGTTAATGATAAATGAAGTGTTTTAACATTTTTGTATGAGTAACTGCCTAGTATTTGGACACCCTTATCATCAATCGAATTATAAATCGATATTTGCAGTTGCTAACGTAAATCGATATTGTATCTCCATATATTTGTACAAATGCGCGCGGCGTTAGAAAGAACTGAGAGAAATGAAAACAATTTTGAAGTTATTACTAGTACTATTACTCATATTGTATGTGTGTGTTACGCTTTTGTCGGTGTGGAAGTTGTACAGTCCAAAAGAGAATGGTAAGAACTTGCTGAAATTTTTCGTTTTTCGTGACCCATGTACGTTAACCTACACGAAACGTAGATACTCGGATTTTCTTCAGTTCATTGAATGAAATTTGGTTGTGTGTAGCACTGCAAGTTACAGTGTAGAGGAAATTTTTGGTTTTAGATGTCATTGATGTTATTGACTTTGTACTGGTCTTGTCAATGACTGAATTTTGTGGATTCATTTTACTGTTTGACAATTTTTCATATTTTCTCTGCTTAACATTATGTTGCCTTAGAATATTGTATTATTTGTAACGTTCAATTCAACTCTATCCTCATTGAATGTTTATTAATCTTCCTTGTCAATGTTTGTTTTTGCCATAAAAATGGTTAAATTCTCTCTTGACACTTGTATAAAGAATGTTTTCTTGAAATTTCAATAATTTCTTAAGTACACATTGTGATGATTCTTGTTTCGATCATCTGTTGATGGTAAAAGTAGCTGTCATTATAATAATTTTTTACTTTTTCCAGGTAATTTGCCACACAGAAAATCCATATTTTCTCTTAACAACAAATTGATAAAATCAGCATATGATGTACCAAAACATTCTCGTGTACAAAATCAAGCATTCTTGTTTAATGTTAATAAAGTTGAAGTTTGGGGGAAAGCTGCCATTGGCACATACTTTTGGATTCATGTTATGAATGCAGATCTAGATAATCAAAGAAATGCAATGGTAATGACTAGTAATTTGACAATTGGAAATACAGCTTTTATGTTCCGGACAGGGCCAGGTCTCATTCAGACTACTGCTCCATATGATGTTGAACATTTAATTCTAATACTTAATGGCAGAAGCCAAGAAAAGTTAGTTGCATCCACCATGTGGTTAGATTATTTACCACAGTACACAAAGTTGAAGAAATTGGCAGTTATTATTCTGGGTAATGAAGAATGTGAAAACAGTTGGATTTGGCCCTACATGAAATCTCGGGGAGGAATGATAGACATTGCTTTTTTGGTTTATGACTCTCCAATGATCGATAATAAGCAGTTTTATCAATGGCCTCTGGGAGTTGCCGTGTAAGTATCCTCAGCAAGTGCAGTTCTGTTATGGAAAAACATGACTTTGGTAAAGTGATCAGTGTGCTTATTTTCATTCATACAGTTATCGTGGATTTCCTAACATATTGCCCGAGCAAGTGGATGTTTCTTCTAAGCGACCATTTATGTGCAATTTCTTAGGAACAGTGTATGCTAATTCATCCCGTGCTATACTAATGAGAGTAATTGAAACATCAAGATTCTGGAAACGATGCATCTTGAAGGGAAGAGAGAAGTTAGTTTCATTTCCTTATCTTTATGAGTGACATTAAATGTTTCACATTTCAGTCTAATACATGTTTCTATGTACATGTGCAGGTGGATACCGTATGAAACGAAGGAGACATTTGATGCATATATGTATTCTCTCTCACATTCAGACTTGACTCTGAGTCCTGTTGGCAAAAACTCGGAATGCTATCGTATCTATGAAGCAATGTCTATGGGTAGCGTGCCTGTCATTGAAGATGTTGTTACACCTGGGTCTTGTGATAGATCTAATAAGTCTCCTTTGAGACTGTTGAAGAAGCATAAAGCTCCTGTAATTTACATCAAAAGTTGGTACAGCCTTCCTGAACTTCTGCAACGTGAATCTCGTTTATCTTTAAGCAGTAAAGTGGAAAGAAGGAGGAATGTTGTTGAATGGTATAGGAGATTTAAAGCAAAACTCAGTAATGAATTCATCCACACAATTGAAAATAAGTTCTTTGGTTTATAAAGATCCTTCAGTGTGAATATACCTGAAGGAAGAATTTCCTATGTATTTTTATAAATGTAATAACACAGTAGTTTTATGGAGTTATTTTCAAGGCAGTTCCATCACAGCATGCTTTGAATGAAGATGAAAAGAGAAGTTCCAAATACATCCTTTCTCTTAGCTGTCAAGTTATTGAAGGGCTTGGGTCAGTAACAATGTAACCACCAGTCACAGAAAGCCTCCTGTTCTTTGTAAATGTTAATGTCTCAATTTTTGTGAAAGTGTGGCTTACCTTTTTATTACATATGTCTTGTTCTTATTTATAAAGGGCTTGGGGGCAGTAACATGGCGAGACACACTTCGACCAAAATTGAGATATTAACATTTAAGAATTGCTTGAGGCTTACTGTGTTTGGTTTGGCGTATTTGGTTACTGTTCCAAGTCCTTCAAGTGAATGTACATGTCTATAAGAAACTTTCTCATTAACCTTTTTCTTTCTTGTACAGTTCTTTTACTTTTTTCTTTTTCTGCATTTTCTGGTTTCTTTCCCTTTTCTAAAGCAAGGGATGGAAACACATTGAGTTTTTAATTTCTTCTCTCTCAAATTGAATTTGAGGTAGTCAATAAATGATGTCTTAAGTTTTGTAAATAAATAGAAAAGAATTATGTACATGTGCTATTGTGTAAAAGTTTTCATATTTTGTGTCGTGAGTGATTGAAAATGTGATAAATTAATTTTCTTTCCAATGTAGATGACTGCCCTATTTTAAAATAAAATTATTTTGAAGTGGTGACACTTTTGCAATGAAGAAGGTAATATTTCTCAATTATAAGCTTTTTGTATGTGGTAAGTAATGGTATGTTTTTTAACAATAAAAACCTGTTCAAGTGTTGTGATAAGAAGGAATAAATGTGTTGAAATAAACTGTACTATGTAATAGTATTCGGAAATGAAATGATGAGGCTGAAAAATCAAGTATGTATATTTATTACTCCAATGCTTCTCATGTTTTGAAGACTTTTTAGATTTAGTGAGAAGTGGCTGTATGTCTCTATTCACATTGTACCTGAAATGATTGCTCCAGTAGTGATATTATTTGTGTACAGATAAGTGGTTACATACCTTAAATATATTATATCTTTTTAAATTCATGTTTCTTACTTTTAATCATGTTAACTGTGAAATTAATATATTTGTTTTCTCTTATAACATTTTCACTGTTTATTTGAAATAATGTACTTTGGAAGAATGCAAGATCCAAAAAGTATGCCTCTGTAATCTAAATTGTTTATATTTGTTTAAAAAATTTTGAAACATTAATGTTGTATTTGATCTTATCCATGTAACTATTTCAGACTATAATCTACATGGGAAAAGAAAAAAAGTGAAGATGTATTGATCTTGCATGATAATGAGACTGTAAATTATGTCTTACCATCTCAGCTTATTATTTATACAAAGTTTTTTCTTTTTTATTTTAAATTTACCTTGAAAATAGGTGAGGAATGAATGCTATGATTCTTTGCCTTTGTGATCCCATAAAAATGTTTCAACTGAGGTATTAACATTTTGCTTTCTAGTTTAGCTGCTTTATTGTATTGTTGTTGTTTTTTTCATGGAATAAACTGTATTATTTTTTCAACCTTGAAGTTATGAAATTTATTTCAATATTCAAGGGAATTGGAGAGAGGGTGCAGGGAGCAACAATGTATCTCTTTCTGCCAATCATATAGAAACCCAAAGCCCGATACGAATGTTTCATGTGCACTATGTGCATAAATAAATCTATCAATCAGTTGATATGTGATAGTCCAATCTAATACTCTTAATTTTTTATACTAAGAGTAATATTTTCCTTAGATTAATGGGTAGTTATTCACTAATTAAAGGAAAATTTAATAAAAACCTATGAATTAGACTTGCCATTTGTTTTCTTCTTTATTGCATTGCACCACATTCTTCATTATAATAATAACAATTATTATTTTTATTTTCTTAACAGTTTTCCATTGAAGGAGATCAATGGGCTTAATACTTCCTGAATAAGAAATCAACAATGCATGGAGAGATAATTATTATCTTCCACATCTTGCTCACTCAACCAAATTTCCCATGTAATTTATGGGAAAATCAAAACTAATTAGTTTGTTTTCATAGATCTGTTGACTTTGAACTGGCTTAGCTGGCTCAGGGGATCAACTGATGTGACTGCAGTGCCTCTAGGAGATCCTAGGGTTTGAGTCCTGACAGTGGTGGGATTTTTGACACTAGCTGTATAGCTACATTGAATTCGGCCACTGGAATTCCACAGTACTCTTAATGCGTGTGCACAATCTTTCCTCCTTCTTCCTTGTCCTTTCCTTACCCCTTACTTACGCACACTTACACTTACATGCACTACTCCACTACACGCTGGGAGACCAGTCAAGTGCATAGTCCTTGTCCTCGCTGGACGGGGGTGCCTCCCTGGAGGGAGAAAACGGGTCGAGGAAAACCCTGCTAGCTGAAGTGTAGATCAGCACCAGCAGGACAAGATCACTGCCACCTCTCATGGTAAAAACATGCACTACACTTACAGGCTTACTAACGACCTTAGCAGTTGATGCCCCAGAAACACGAAATAATCAATCAATGTGGACTGTGATTAAACAAATGTGTAGACTTTGTTAAGGATATGCAATTTTCTATTAAATCATTGTTAGGTTTCTAGAAACATATATTTATTTATCACAATATACAGACAATTTGTCCATACATTTAATATACAAAAATTATAAATGAAATGCAAAAAGTATACACAAGTAACTGACTCTAATAACTATATCAATATAAAAAGAAAGGAAATAATTAGTAAACAAATATTCACAATAGCAAACATCTTCCCAATAGATATAACATTATAAAAATTCAAATATAAAATTATGAAAATTCAAACGTTATATTCCTTGCATCCATCAAAAAAGATGCAGCATTATCACGAAACACGTTGATTGATACAATATTTGTCAGCTTACACATGCTGTTTACAGCGTTGTTCACTGTATATGACCTATAAAATTAAAAGCCAAAGATATAATTATTTCTCGAGTTGAAAGAAGGTGACTTGTAGAGAAGCATGTTGGATACAAACAAATCAAATCACCTCTACTCAACTTGTGCGAAAAAATCAAATCATTCAGAGAGCATTGGGATTTAAGAGAAAGAAATGTCAAATCTTGACCAATTGTGTCATTACTGTGGGCTATGAAAGGATCCTGTTCCCCAATGCATCGAGTGGCAATCCTGAAAAATTTATGTTGCACTGTCTCTATACTCGGTATATGGTTGCCAAAAAAGGGAGACCATACAACGGAGGAGAACGTCAAAATTGGTTTAACTAACTTAAGATAGAGCGATTTTAATGTTGTAATTTAATGAAATTCATAACTAGTGCACTTCATAAAACCCAAGATCTGGTGAGATTTATGTACAGTGTGTTGGATATGTTCATTAAATGTCTTACCAGAATCAAATATCACACTCAGATCTCTCTTAGATGTGACTCTCTCAAAGGAGTTAAATTCGTAATAACAAGCCTCTACCGAACTAGCTCTGGTAAAAGTTATCAACTTACATTTCTTGAATTGAGAAGGTCATTTGTAACGCACCAATCAGACAGAGCATTCCATGCTCATTGCAACAGAACTCTGTCTTTCAGTGACTGAAAATGTATAATATTAATCTTTTAGTTATATTCCCCAATTTCTTGAAATTTTAATCTATAGAAGAAACTCATAATGCCTCAAGAATCTAGATGTATATGCTCAGATGTATCATCTTGTTTAACTGTATTGGGGATCAGCATTTACAATATCAAGTTACTCTTAAGAGTTGACAAAATTTAATTTATAATTTGTTACAAATATTGCATCTTATGTCTTACCGGGGACTTCCTGTGCACAGGGCCGCTGCAAAATAGTTAACCACTCTGTGCAAGTATATTTTACCACTTTCAAAAGAAAAGCTATAATTTCATACTTTTAATAGTAGAAAAGTTTAGTTGTTTAAAATAGTATTTATTGACGTGCAATTATAATTTGATTTATTAAATAATAAATAAGGCCTTGGGAGCACCCCGAGACAGTGAGGCAGCAGCAGACATTGAAAAAGGCGCAAGGCTTGAAACTAGTGGCCGCAAGGCACTCAAGCACTATTAATATATGAATAAATATGTATGTATAATATGAAAATACAATAATATACAATTAGCATAAGTATAAAAATACCATAGTATAAAATTTTACAAAGGTACATTTCGAACTTTCAAACTCACAAATTTTTTTTGAAACTTTCTAAATTAATATTGTTCGAGATTTCACTTTCAGTTTATATAATTGCTTGTTCTATTAATCATTGGTGTGACGTGGTTGATGGTAGGGAGTTTCTAATAATTTTTAATTTTGAAAATGATGTTTCTCCTCTGGCCTTTGTAACTGGCAAAGTTAATAAAATTTCCAATATCATGGTAATATTAGGGAATTGCCTGATTAGTTATTTTGATATATAAATTCAAATACTTCAATTGGTAAGAATTTTGATTCGAAACATTTCGTGATTGCATTTAATTCATCAAGTACTATTGCTTTTATATTTTTTCGATTATCTATATCAGTTTCATCAGTCAGTTTTAATTCTAAAACCATACTTTGTTTTCACTTTCCCGGATACGTACGTACTTATGGAGCAATATGATTAGTTTTGGGAAAATTATGTAATACTGCGGAAAACCGATATCTAGATTTCAACGTAAATATACGTTTTGGATCCCCTAATACCGAAAAAGTAGTTGTTTTCAAAACGTCTGTCAACACCATACTAGCGCCTAAACCATACGTATGATTTTTTCCAAATTGAATAAAATCCTGTCCATCTGGCTCGAGTCAAATCTTTGAGATTTGAAGCCCCCCGAACATTTTCAAAATTCTCTCAAACATTGCTCCATTTTTTAAAAAAATTCTTATAATAGAGTAAAATGCACTTATGAAGGTGGCACACGTCCGATTTTTAGGATTAACTCTAAATTTTCGAAAATTTCAAAATTTTTCGGGAGTCTTTCTACAAGTACAAAATTAAAAATAGAGATTTTTCATTCAAATAAAATTTGATCTCCGTAGTGAGTTCTTTCATTAAGGTCAATATACATTTTTTAAAATATTCTAGACGTTTTCGCGAAATATTGCGTACAATTGGTGCAATTTCAAGAAATTACCAAAAACAGATTTTCTTAAAAACGGCTCCAATTTTTTTCTTTGAACTTTTGGTAGGGATAGTACTAAATGTACTCTATACCCTGTTTTACACAATACTTTTTTTTTATCGTTTTTCGCCGGTACAGAAAAGAGGCAGACTGGACTGAATGTAATTTGTACAAAAAAAATGACGCATGTTTCATTTTTCAGTACATATTTCATCCAGTTTGACTACCGCGCTCCTGGCGTCACTTTTCGGAACTTTCTCTGGTTTGTCATGCGTGTGGTGCGATTTGTTAATTTTGAAGTTTTGAGAGCGTTCTGATGTAATGTAATATGAAGTGATTATGTAGTGAGAAATAAATCATGTACTGTAGTGAGAAATAAATCATGTACCGCGTTCCTTGCTGAGTCCAAATATAACCTAACTTAATTTGTTACAATAGATGCGATGTTCAAATGTTTAATCTTCAGCGCTTTTTGTGGCGTCCAGAGGAAGTATTTTCATCACGATTACGTACAAATATTATAAATGATCATTTAAAACTGGAACGATATTCGTTCAGTTTCGGCACCGAAACAAAACGCGTAGAAACGAACGTTCTTTTTCCGTACACTTTCTGTTCAGAAAAATGATGAAAAATGACCGTGAAGGACAGGCTATAGAGTACATGAGTAAGATGACACAAACACCATATTGCTCTATTCTTTTGTTTTTTCAAAAAGTACAAACATGTGATTTTTATACTTCTCTCGTGTTAATTTTTTCATTAGCGGTAATTTCTATATCTTAATATATTTATAAGTACATGTACTTTAAATAATGTCAGATAATGTTTCCCAAAAACTCCGTTTTCTGTGAAAATGAGCTCAATATTCCACATTATCAGAAACGCTCAAACGCCATTTTCTCAGAAACTGCTCCAAATTTTCCAACAGATAGTACTAATTGCATTGTTTAAGATGACATAGAATTAATTTTGCCGTATACTTCTTTTTTTTTTCAAAAATTACACAAATGTATTTTTTTAAGATCTCTCACGCCTTTATTATGCACATTTCCAGCGATTTTTAAACACTATTGCATTTGTGACTGGAAGTACTTGAAATCACGTGATATGAAGTTTTTCGAAAACTCAATACGTTTCGTTGAAAAGAGGTTCAAATTTCGAATTTACAGTAGCGCTTAAACGCCATTTTCTTTAAAAAAGTCTCCAAATTGTTAAAAAAAATGCCATTTAGAACCAGCTTTTACTCTTCTTTAATATTCTTAAAATAATATTTCCGTTCTACTATTAGAAAGCCGAAAAAAAGAAATGTACTTTGTGCGGCGATAGATGGAAGCTGGCAAGAGTATGTGGAAAGTCCGAGTAGTTATCCGAGACCAAAGTAAATAGAAAACTAATAGGGGCAAGTCTGTGCCATTCTGTACTTGTAAAAACGCCTTGTTTCGCCAAGAAAATAGCTGGGGAGGTGGACAGTTAAAAGGTCGGAGAAGTTGGATTTGCAAAGGCATCAGCAGCCTAAGAGGATGGGGCGTCAACTACACTTCTGGGACCCCTTTTCCATTAAACTTTCTTATTTTTTACTTTTTTGCTACATATTTTACTAATATATAAAAATAAGCTAAACCACAAGAATGAAATAGTAACTACTGATACACTTATAAATGAAATTGATTTTATGTTGAACGTTTTCATGGTTGCTATATGATTTCCTGAGCTTCTCCCCTAAATTCAAATTAAAGAGACGGTAAATCAGGAACTGAATACGCTTAAAGAAATAAAAATATTTTATTACATAAGACTACGGGTCTCCTCACAACATTTTCAGGCTACGCTACCCTGCCCCCTCCTCTCATTAATTAATTAATAAATGCACTCATACTCTAGATTCACACATGAAGCACTTCATAAAATAAAAAGTAAAATAACTAGTATTACTCATTTAAACACAATAGTGTTTTAGTAATACTGTAACTCTAATAGTACATTAATATGGTAACAAAAACTATTAATGAAATATTATTGCAGTCTAAATGCACGAGCAATATCAACAGCAAATGCAGCGTAAGCGCCACAGAGCGTACACAGTTTGTTTTTATCCGTTGCGGTTAAATCCCCGAAGCCGTTCGAGGCTTTTGGGCACTATCACGAGCCGATCATCCCGGTTCTGTCCAGTTGTCCGTTTCACGACGTTCGGTTCTAGAAGAATATGGTTCTTCTATGCCATTCCTTATTGTCAGCGCTTACGCTGCTTTTGCTGCTAAAAATGCTCGTGTGTTTAGACTGCAATAATGTTTAATTAGTAGTTTTTTTGTTAGTAGAAGTTGAAAGAGTCCCCGCTGACATAATGGTCTGACAGGTTTAGGCGCTAGCGTTGACCACTGAAAGAAGGTCTGACAGACAAACGTCCTGCCGATCTTTTCTCGGTATAAAGGACCCACAGAACATGAGTTCTAACTACGGACTTGTGTTAAGGCTAAATACACCGAAAAATACTTGTAGGAAAATTCAATAGATCGCAGCACTATCACAGGGAATTTACTTTACTGATAACGTCTGAACCAATGGCTCGATTTTCGATCTGTAAACGGTATTTGACGCCTTTTTAAAATAGAATTTACGCTACCATGACCTTTTTCCAAAAATCTAGCAAAAACGCGAATTTAAAATTAGTTCTCAAACTTCCAAGTACAAATTAAAAAATGTGAGCTTATACCTCGGTCTGTAATAGTATAGCATCTCTAGTTTGATATATGTGGAAAAATAGATTGAGATACAAAGTGACGAACACATAAACCGACTATCTGGCTTGCGAATCCCGCGTCTCTCCTGATCCGCCGGGGCTGGCCCACGCCGCCTGGCCTGGCCGTGCCGCCGCGCCGACAGAGGGCCCACAACAATCGGGTGGATGACGCAACAGCGAAGAAGGGGAAGGGGGAGGGAAGTGTTTTCGTTAATTTCGCTTTACGACGCTGCTATTCGTCCGATTTGCATGATGGTCACGGCGTTGGATTCAGGAAGCATGTGGCCATCGCGCTATAAGCTCACATTTTTTAATTTGTACTTGGAAGTTTGAGAACTAATTTTAAATTCGCGTTTTTGCTAGATTTTTGGGAAAAGGTCATGGTAGCGTAAATTCTATTTTAAAAAGGCGTCAAATACCGTTTACAGATCGAAAATCGAGCCATTGGTTCAGACGTTATCGGTAAAGTAAATTTTACTTATTTTGGTGCTGCCACGTGGTGGCTACAAATTGTACTAGTGTCGGGACATTTAGCCTTAAAGTAACTAATTTATTTCATATATAGGAACAAAATTTATCCACTTTTTCATTACCGGGCTCGGCAATAAGAATATTTTGGTCGAAAAATCGTCGATTTCTGGTGCACGATACTTTCTCCTCTTACGAAGTAAAGTAAAAACAGATTATTTTGAGATAAGAAGGCTTCAATATTTTTCTCTCGTGTGCAGATACTAGTTTTAAAACTAAATAAGTAATGAATCTTCTAAAGATATTCACAGATACTCCATGCAATAGCCTACAATATACTCAATTGTGGATTCAACTCGGTTTAAAAAAGAATGTTGGTTACTATGTTTTAGCATGGAGTAACCTTTTTGTCCCCTCTACATTTAATAAAATATGGATTTATATATTTTAATTTCGTCCCTTATATCATTATTTTTTTACTGTCAAGTCTGTTGCATCCACAGCTTCTAAGCCAAAAGTCTGTTTCTAAAGTCAACAACCTTGGTCTTGTTTTTACATATAACTTCCCATGTTTTTGAACTATAAATTGTAACACTCTTCAGAGATGCAATGAAGACTTTTTTTGTAATTTTATTAATACTTTGATCCACAATACAGAGTTCATTAATCATGTGATATTCTTTCCGATTTCAATTTTGCTTTTTCAATTCAAATTTTAGGCCAAATTCAATTTTGCCCTAAAACACATTGCTCTTCTCAATTGTTTTCCTTCTATTCACACTCAATTTTATTCCAAATTATTTTGCTGTGTAGTCTTTTTACCGAATTAATTACTGCAATTCCTCGATTCTCTTCATTGTCTCTGGTTCATTTCTTGTTAGTATAAGGTGAAACATTTGTCACTCCTGAGGAGTATCTTCTCTATTTATGCTCCTTGAGAATTTTACCTCTATCCAAATTCAATAACAAATATCCATTTTCCTAAAAAGTGTTACAAATTTTAAGACAATTGGACATATTGTTTGTTTTTAATGTCCTAAAATGACTGATAAACAACTCTAATTGGAAGAATTTAGAAAGCTTTAAATGCTGGCACAAAAGTAATATAACAAATGAAAAATAATTTTTCACACAATGCCATCGTATCAGAAAATACATCAATTGTTCAGTTACAAAAAATTGTTATAACAGATTGATGTGACTGGAGAAATGGGATTTAGAAAAGACTTGTGTCATTGTTTTAAAAATTAAACATTTTAATCACAAATTATTTACAATACGGTACTGTACAGCTTTTATATATATTAGTTTTTTCAGCAATGCATGAACAAGCTCTATCAAATTACTTCTTCAATAAAATAAATACTTATTGTTTTGTGTGTTTACCGACTAAATAAATATCATTGACTTATAAACATTGCAAAATAAACTAGTAACCAGTTTTACCAGCAAATGGATACCAACATCAATTAGTATGTGATCAAATTGTCTCATTTATTGCAGACTCAATGAAATTTATTGGTGTATTGTAATATAAAGATTCTTTCATATTGATTAACAACAGACTATGTTGTAGTGATCATTTAATTGACTAATGAATTAGACAAGTAAAGAAACATCTACAAAATGACATGAGGAAGAAAAAAATATTCAGTAATATTTGTCTACTATGTTCTTGTTTTTTTTAGTTTTAATGCTCATGTTCCATTCATTTCAGTACTCTTTCCTTACATTTATGTTGCAAGGTGAACACATTGATTTGTGCATGTTCATCAAGTTGGGATATGCAACAGCATAGGATTGCTTTCTTATCTACTAATCAATATTTAGGCACTATAAACATATAGTCACCATAAGATAAGGAATGGAGCATTGCTAACGGCATAGCATATGTTGCAACTTTCTATATACACTATCACAATGAACATAGTTTCACTTATTTGTAATTTTCTCAATTAAGACTATGGTTTTGCTCCAGCAACATTCTTATCAAAGTCACAATTTCTGCATGCATGCCTTTCCTTTAGGCAAAGTACTGAATAAATTAATCAGGCTCTGGTGTCAACAATAAATTGACATTAACAAACCAGTAATTAATATTTAAGTAAAAGGTGTAAGTATTTGTTTGCTTTAACAAAACAATCACTTTTAAAATGAAAAGTGATGTTTCATACCCTGAGCTTTTTCTTAGAAATTCTCTTATATGCAGCAGATCACATTAGTGACTTGACAATGGAAATATTTGGAAACAGTGAATCAATGTATTCACACATTCAAGGGAGGAATACATGTGGATTCAAAGAAGTATGTTTACCTTGCATGTACAGACATATTCTTTGATTCATTTCTTCAAAGCATTAAATAACAGGTTATATACATAGATACATTATCAAACCATTCAACTAGACAAAGAAGTTTTAAGATATGTGCACTTAGACTGTTGTAAATATTGTAACATGAAACTGACTGTATGCAAGTTGTAAGGTAAGCAAATCTTTGCATACAACTGTGACTTACAAAAAGGAAACTTACAACTCTGAAAAACCATGACCTGCATAATTTTATCTACGCACTAACATTATTGATTTCCTTTTGAATGGTTTGTGATTGAAGAAGTGGCTTACAAAACTTGATAATGCAAACAATTTTTTTTGTTGATTTTTGCTAACAAGTGACTTCTACAAGACTATTGTATATTGTACTTTTGTACTCTCACAATGCAGCAGTAAATTCAAAGAATTTGAGGCACTCTATTTCAAGTACATCCACATATTCAGTGAAAACAGTTCATTCATTTGTGCTGAACCATGAAATAAAACACATTGGCTATAATAATCATCAATAAATATATAGCAATTCATACAATATACCTGTATTGAGGATTGAGAAAAAACATGATATAAGGATTATGATAAAAAAGAATTTATAACAAGAGACAAAGAGAACCACAGTCATACAACAGTTTGTTCACAACTGAGGTATTAACATCGAAAATTGAAATTTTAAAACGAGTTTAACAATGAGTATTGAATTCATATTGATCAATTTGACATAATGAGGATTATGAACTAAAACTTCAACAGATGTGGTACATATGAATATTATTAATTTAGGAATTCCAAGTAAAAACATACCTAAGATGCATTAAAATTCTTAATGCAAAAATATTTGTTTTTTGCTTTTCTTGGTCATATTGCATTTAGAAGAATTTGTTTTGTGCATTCCGAAACTGTTTCTGCGAGTCAGGTGACAACTACATCGCTCTTCTAGAAGTAGCAATAATAAATAATAATTCTGGATAATTTTCACTGAAATGTATAGTATCCCCCCAAAATTTAAAACTTCAATTGAACGTGCATGGAAACAAATATGCACAACCAGGAAATGAAATTTATTACATGGGAGATTGTTTACCTTTGAACATTTTCCACAGAAATAATGTTTATTTTCTTTTTTCATGTTTTAAAATTCATAATTTTAGAAGAAGCATATGTATATTTAGAATCGAACCATTTCCTTTGTATGAATGTCATACAACATATATTTCAAAAAGAAATCCTGGAAAAATTGGTCAGAGGTACATGATGGTCTTGTACAATTGAACACAACCTTGTGAACCAGTAATACATATTTTTTAAGTGAATTTAAAGCAAAATTAAGGAATTCCTTTCACTTCTAACAATAATACAGTTTAAACATATGAAAATAAAGATGGTATCTTCCCATTATAATTATTCACCTTTAATGTTACAACATTTTTTAAAATAAGTTTTTAAATATTAAATATTTATTTCACAGGATATTTTGGACTGTTCCAGAAATTAACCCAAGGAGATATAGTTCACTCTGTCGTCATGCATTATCGTATTTCACTGGCTTTGGTAGTTTTATTATTACAGAGTTTCAGTTTCACAATTCGTGTTTTGGCAAACCACTTCGGATACTTTACTTGATATTTAGAACCTACATTACCAACATGTATAACCTGTCCCGTGTAATCTGTTTACATTTTCTTGCTTTAAAACTGAACAAACACCAAGTTTCCAACTTCAAAATTATGGCATTCAATGACTTCCTTCAAATTATCATTGCCCATTTCATCATCACCATCTTTAGTGCCAGTATCTGCAGGATCATAACTTCTTAAATACCATCAGAATAATTGTCTTTTACAACACTGAAGAGTAGTATTTTGTTGTGATGGTTATAATTTTTTTTTGGATCACAATTAGTTCAGTTTCACCAATTGTAAATAAATAAATAAATAAATAAATTTAAAGAATTGAAACACTCACACACACACACAACAAAATGCTACTTTTCAATGTAGAAAAACAAAAACTTGTCTGCAAAGATCAAAAAGCTTCTTTACAAGTTTATATGAAAACGCTAACTGAAAAATGGCTATGACCTGGTTTAAAAGATGTTTAATATTCACCAAAAGTTTGCAAAGGTACATTGTCCAAACACAAAAATATATCTTACTCACAAAAAAGGGTTAAAAACTAAAGAGAAGATGAAATTCAGTTCACTGGTTTTGGAAAGGGGTGTAATGTTTTGCCACTATTTTAGTTATTTTTGGTTCAGGATAGCAAGTATGGTTGGCTATGAAAAATATAACTTAAAATTCCCTAATACCATTTATATTTGATGGTGTGCTAAAGTTCGATTAGTATGCGCATGCAGGTGCTTTTATGTGACGTGCTTTAAGAGGTAGCCAAGTAAATGTGCAAATTTATGACTTCATCGTAACACTTTCTCACATCATAGGATCAATCAGCATGGTTTTTCACAAAAAATTAAAGAAATTATAATAAACTAACACAGTTATTGTGTGATAATCTTATCTTTGCGGTACTTATAAAATGAAATAGAAGAAGATTCTGCATCTGTTGTTTATAAAAGTTAGAAATAGCCTCGTAATGGAAGATGTATTATCAATTATTATTATCATAGTAAGTCAAAGAATTAATTCTCTAAATTTGTCAAATTTATTTACGTTCATGTATATCACTCTTCCCCAGTTCCTCCCTCCTGCATCCCCAAATTCCTTCTAGAAATTTCTTTCTCAGAAATCTGTCTCATCCATCCATATTTAATTTAATTCAAGTTGCAAGCTTAGAGATTGAAACTTTTACTAGTTTTCACAAAATCAAATATAATAGCCATAAAAAACAAACTTCAGGGTACATTGATGTTTCTCTGCAGCAGTTTCATTTCTTTCTTTCTTCATATGTCTTCATGAAATGTGCAAAGACTAAACAATTTAGAATTGAAAATGTTTTTATGAATCTTCTTGAAGTTCATTTTCATCTGTTTATGCATTGTGCATTTACAATCTGTTTATCATCCACGGAATGATTATATTCAACTAATATTTCTTCAATGTTACACATGATATTTAATTTTTTAAAATTACATCATATTCCCATTGTACACATTAATCCAAATATTTTTGCAAAGAACTTCTATCAGATTCAAATAACATTTCTGTGTGTCCTCAAATATGTTTGGTCATGTTACATCATTATTTTGCGTTATTTCCTGTACAATCTTGTACCAAGTGAATATATACGAAGATAAATCTACAGGCCAATGTATAATATTTCAGTGGAATACAAAGGAATGCTCATTTGGAGAAACAGAATTTAAAAAATTATATTTTTAATCTCATTAAAAATTGAAGAGTTTCTTTTAGGCCTTAAACAAGATATAAAATGCAACAAAGAAACCTTTTTGCCTCTATTTTCAGCTAATAACTTGAATATTTAGGAATTTTTCACCAAAAGATACTTTCTCCTGTTGCTACATTTAACACTCTGAACACTCTTCACAATTACTTACACTTCTGCCATGCTTTATATACAATATTATAAATATATACCTTTATGACTTCTTTTGCAGGGCAGATCACAACAGCATTCCGTTTTTAAAAAAGGGAGCAGTTCAGATGAAGTCTATTGTTACTTATTTTCTTTGGAAAAATAATGTTCCATGGTGGTGGTATGCACCATCTTATTATCACATAATATACAGACCAACAAACTGTTTAAAAGTGCTGTCTCTGAATTTTATTTTCCTTTTCAAAATAAATGTCTTTAGCTGCCTGCTACAAGCTGTATTTATAGTAAGCAAAGGAAAACTCAATGAATCAAAATACAAAGACAGCCATACAGAGTGTCATGTAGCAACAGCTATTTCTATCATGTCAGCACCTTCATTTTATGTTACTGTTGTCAAGTGCAATCTTTTAAAAATAAATAAGAATAAATTTTATTTCAATTGGTTTCTATAGGTATATCACATGTAATTTGAATGAAAAATGACAGAACCAGAAAAATAATTTCAGTACCAATATATTCTATCCAGTCATTCAACAGTATGAGTTCTCCTCTTAATATTGTTAACCACGTTAATCCAAATTTTTGTACAACCTGTAAAAAATCAAAATTTTTCATAATTTCATTTTTTATTTCCAAGGACAATAAATTATATAATATATTTAATTATATTGTTTAGAAACTAAGTTTGGAAATATTCAAATCATTGTTATCGCACATGCTAGCTTAACCTCAATTTTAGGGGAAGGTCAGAAAAAAGAGGTAGTAGTTTTGAGTAGGTCAGAAAAAAATTAAATAAAACACTAAGGGCTAAAACAGGGCTTCCTCAGGGCTAAAACAGTAAATTTCTGGTTTATGTTATGTTATTGAGAGGAAATGTTAAGAGAAAATTTGGTTGATACATAAACTGAAAATTGTTTATCTTAGACCTACGGAAGGTTCTTAAGAGTCAAAATGTTGGGGGTCTTAGAATTGTTTTTTTTTATGACCTCAAAATATTTCTCATTGCTCACCATTATCAACGTGTTGAGATCCAACACCATACAGCCTTTAAAAATATTACTGTGCATGAAAAAATTCTTAATTGTCAAAACTATCAACACTGTATATATAAATACAATTTCGTGGAGAGAAAGAAGGAAAAATGTATTCTTGGAAATGGAAGTGCTCGGTGACATGAATTAATATTCACCAAGAGAGTCCGGAAAAATATGTAAAATGAAATGGAAAAGTATGTATATAAATACGTAATAAAAAGGATAAGAACATGTAACAAAAATGTAAAAAGGGATATAATATGTAATATCAAAATACACTGTAATTTATAGGGCATTTAGAAACAAAATAAACATACATTTGAAGTTAAATTAATAAAATTTTAGTAAACCAATTTTAAAAATTTAGATTGTTTATCCTATTAAATTATTTTTTTTAAGAACTCATTTTTATCTTTGAAATTAATGATAGCCATCATACAAACATAGGAAACCAATGACCATCAAACAATCACTGTAGCTTAGTCTTCGTGGTGCTATACATCTGCCACAATCAATATCTCATGTAAATTGTGATTAAGATCAAGAAACAATGCCTCATTAATACTTGCCACACCTAAAGATATTCTCAGCACTTATGAGGATTTATCACAACATTTATGCAGTGCAGATATGCAACAGTGTTTTCACACAGGGGCACCTTGTGTCTTCAACATGCAATTCTGAAAATGTGTAAGAAAAAAAAAAGTTGAGTTTTTGAAATAAAAACTATTTTTGAAAAATCTACTGAATATTTTTTGGGAAATAAAATGTATTTCGTTATTTCAATAAAATTGATGTAATGAGAACAACAATAATATGTTTTGCAAAATATGTAAAAATATATAACAAAAAAATTGGATATTATGTTAGGATTGCCTTATTTGCTAAGATAACAATTTTGTTAACTGGTCTTCAAAAGACAAAAAATAAATATTTCAGGGGCAGATCCAGGGACAAATTTTGGAAGGAAAAATTAAAAATGTTTTGGTCGAATGTGTCATTACTAGGGCTCGGATAATTATGTACTAAAAATTGGGAAAATATGTTCATATATATTATAATATACAGAAATACGTACTAAAATGTAAGAAATATGTATTATTAAATCAATTATTTTTTATTAAAATACTTCTATCTTGGGGTATATTGTTCTGTTTCATAATATAAAAACCAAAATTACATATTATACTTTTCCTAATCCTATTATTTACAAGAATTTCCATAACAATAAGAAGCAAATATTTGTTTCAAATTTTCAACGATGAAACATTTCTTTTTATCTTGTAAGAGGGCCTTGTACTGCCTAAAAGAGCGTTGTACATCGCACAAGTCACAAGTGGATATTTACACTGGCACACATCCTCTGATGAGTAGTCCATATCCAGTGTGGCAGAATTGTCCCCTCATTGCATTGCACTAATAGCACACATTGTTTGAAATCTGGGGTTTTCTCCAGAACTGAAGATCTCTTTTTCTTCACTAGATCCCCTATTAATCTTTGAAAGGTACATGAACAGTACAATAAGTTACAAGGTACAAGAAGTTACAAGGGTACAAGTTTTAAGGAAGACATCATCTTCAAAGATTTAATTGAAGTGCTTGCTGAAAAATGGGGCAATATCATTTTTCAGCTTTTCAGCAACTTACTTTCGGGCAAAATATGTACTAAAATGTCAATGGTTCTTGGCACTAACCGATATGAAACAATTTTGTTGATTTGACTCTACAGAGTTACTTTAGGAAACTATGTTATTACATGATTATCTGGGCCCTAGTCATTTCAGATTTTTTTAAATGTTGCAAGCTACACTCAGCTCATGTTGTGATACAATTTTATTTGGTTTAATGATTATCCAAAAATATTTTTGCTTGAAAGTTTCGTGACAAATAACATTAACAGTTAGGTACTGAAAAATTTTAGGGGGAGGGGAGGATTTCCCTCATGTCCTGTCCCGTCCTCATGAATCTGTGCCTGTAGTTTCATAAGAATCCGGTCTCTATTGATCAATCTCTCTAAAAACGAATACCTCAGAAAATACAGAATTAATTCAACAGACTTTTAACATTTATGTTCAAAGGACTAAATATCAGTAAATAATTGTTGGTGAAATGGTGAATTTGTTCACTTACAATTCATTGAATTTTTGTTTATATACTCTCTCCTACATAGATATTTCCATAATTTCATTACATAAAACTCCAAATATTATTTTTAATATTTGAGAATTTCCTGAAGCGTTATTATAAGTATGTCAAAAAATAATGAAATGAACAAGAGTAATTCTTTATTCACATGATCCAATGAAAGAGTACACGGAAGACTGTAACATTACAAAGAAAAACACCTAGTGGCCCTCCAGTAGAAGTGTATTCCACATTTCAGTATTGGTGAATATTGATTATGCACACAAAAATTAAGAAAAAAATGACTGGAAGAAGAAAATATGAACATTTATTCCCATCCATTTATTATTTTTAAAATTATATTCAAAATTATGAATTCTAGGAACTTGAGGCTGCAAGACTATTTGATTCATTTAAAATGTATTTAAAAAAAATATATATAGTAATATAGTAATAGTAATAATAATAATAATAATATAGTAATAAAAAAATATAGTATATAAAGGATGATATCAGTTTTAGAGGAAAAAAAAATAAAAACTGAATTGAGAAAGAGATTCATACATACACATGAGATAGACAGATTTGTGATTAAACAATAATTTCAATAATGTAAATAATAATATATGTTTCTTTCATAACATTAAAATTTACACTAAAAAAATTAATACATGGATATTTTCTGATTTCCTGAGTCATTCCTTTTTGTGTATGTGAAATCAAGTTTGTGTAAGATATTCATCCACATTGTTATTCAATTTTGTTTCTTTGTGCAGAGCGTAAGTGTTTGAGACAAAACAACAAAATACTTTTAAAAAATCACATACCTGAGATTTTCTAGTTAATTTACTAGCACATTATAATGACGGTCATCTTCTGCTATAAGTATGACCTCTGGCCATACACCAAGGTTCCAATCAGGATAACAGCATATAAAATCTTCTGTTCCATGTGCAGCAGGGCGTACAACCCTCAAAGTAACTTGCAGAGCATATCCAAGTAAAAACATCTCCACCTGCAACATTGGGAATGTCTTTCAGAAATGCATTACCTTATCTAGCTAAACTTTCACAGCAAATATTGTCTTTCTGATTTATCGAAGAAAATGCTTTCATATGCCTAGAAATCAAAACATTCAGCAGTACAGTATGTTCCACAAAAAATAGCCTATGACTACAACCCGGATATGTAGAATTTTAGGCTTTTTGAAAAGACAATTTAAACTAATCTTGGTTTAGATTTTTATAGTTTTTTTCCTAAGCTTAGTATCAGGTTGAAGAATAGTTGTGGTAAGTAACATTTAAATTATTAACTCATTTTTGGCAGAAATCAGTGATTTGTTCAGGAAAACTGTTATTGTCCAGCCCTCTGCGCAGTAGATTACTTTCTCTAACACATTGTGCAGTCAGAACCCATGTTTTGTGGGACCTTGATACCGAGAAATAGAGTCAAAGCAAAACAAAGGAAATTGCCATAAATTAACATTGCAAAACTACAATATTGAAGTCGAAGATTTTTGTCTTGAATGGAATATGTTTTAAAAAATTCAGATCCTTAAAAACAGTTAAGTTTTGAAGAAAGAAATAGTTTTTGCATAATTTCTGCGTTTATATTTCAATTCTCAAAAAAGGCTGCAAATTTTTTCTTTAAATTTTTCCACCAATAGAGCAAAGGATGATTAAAAAATGGCGCAGGTCTCATTTTCATTGAACTCGCTGAATTTTCGAAAATTGCATTTGTTAGAAATAATGGGAGAGGCATTCAGTTTTTAAGCATCTGAAAAAGCAAGCATTCCCAAGCAACTGCATTGTGTAGCAATTTTTTTCTTTTTTTTTTTTTTGTTCTTGTTGGAAACACTTTTGCAGGTTGTGAAGTAGTATAATATTGCATAGCCACAACTAGTTTGCTGTTTAGCACCACTAGTTTTCAATGTGTGTGTTTCTTGTAGTAATAGTGTGTAGTGTTTCTTTTGGACATGAACGGAGTTGTTCTTAAAAAATGGAAAAACATATTTAAGATCAATTTTTTAATTTCCTAAATCTTCCTTTTTAAATGAGCATCCAAACCAAAAATTTACTTTAAGATGTGATCTTGCAATGAACAATCATGTACAATCCCAAAATATATAATGTGAATAAGAGTTCAGGTGTCAGTGAGAGACTAGGGAAGCTGGGGGAGGGGGAGGGCTATGCCCCCTCCCCAAGAGGCCTAAAGTTTTCATTTGTTACCTTCTTTTATCTGGCAAAATTGATTTAAAAAATAATATTGTATGGTATCATTTATACACATACACATGATACACATACACATGATATACATTATACACCCACACATACATAATATTTAAACATGTGCCTGCATGCACACATAGCCTTGGATTAATTAAGTAAATTAAGTAATACTCATTAACTTAAATGCAAAAATCTTATTTCTTTATTATTTTGGTACAGATTTGTTTAATTTCAGAACATATCATCTGAAAAATTATTATTTTTGAAGTTTAAGTATCTTTGCCTTATATTGTTGTAGAAGTGAATAATGAGTTATAGTATCTACAAAATTTGATCACATAACAAGGCCATACCCAGAGTTGGAGGGGGTGGTCAGGGGGTTCAACACCTCCATCAGAATACTTTAGTCAATACATAGTTAAAAAATTAGTGTTTTCTAATTCTGAATTTTGATGATATAATTGTATGTCAAATGTGCAAATAGTTAATTGTTATGGAGAAGAACTACTGAACTGTCATTGCCCACAATGCAAGTTATTAGTGTTCATTACTCTACATCAGCCTAATGCCCCCCTTCAGATCTGATTATCGCCTTGACACTAATAATTCACAATTAACTGTCAACAAATTGTTTATTTTTCATGACACAATAACTTCCACAAGACCACTGAGCTTGCAACAAGATATCGAATAACGAAATTGAAATTAAATTTAATAAGCATTTGCAATTAAAATTATATGCAGTAATTTCTGTAAAAATTGAGATGTCTATTAATCCACTAGAATATTACATGCCATGCATTCTTGTAAAAGCCATTATGATCTAAATGTAAGAAAAGTTGGTGGTAGTGATTGTGATGATGATGATGATGATGATGAAATTTATGACATTTGCAAGCCATGTCAAAAAAAAATGCACTAAAAACAAACATCAGTACCAATTTTTAAAGTACAAATATGTTCTTGAGCATAAAATATTGATTTTGTCAGTTACTAGCTTTCATGAGATAAGTTGTCTAGGAAAAAGTATTTGTCCAAAATTCGTTGAAACAATTCATTGTTATTAGCAAAGAGGAAAGACTGCTTTCCCTCTATTTTATTATTAATTATTATTTGCCGATCCGGATCTAAATGATATATAATACATTGAATGTCATTGTTAAAATTAATATTATTTTCCTTTTTGATGCTCGGTGTAGTCTCTAATTGTATAGAAACAGTTGTGCAGCAGACAAGATTTTACTAGGGAATTAAACTTTTGTATCGAATTTAATCATTTAATGTCATCTGGCGAGGTGTTGTAAAATAATATACATGTATTATATGTGAATTTTTTGTAGTGAGCTGGCGATACTGTCACCTAATGAATATGATTACTATGTCGAGTGTTGTAATTATAGACAATGGTGTTTGCTGAAAATATATTCCAGTCCTTAAGTAAGTCATTTTTGACAAAAACCACTGACTCATATATGAAGAGACAAGGTAATGGTAAAATACCTAGATGAATATAGAGAGACTTACAAGAATCACACGTGTGGGATTTACTTATTATTCGTACAATTTGTTTTTGTAATCTAAAAGTCTGGGAGCCATAAGATTATTTCCCAAGAATATTATGCCATATCTCAGGCAGGAATAAACGAAATAAACACAACAAGCAGTGTGTAGGATGACTGAATTTGAAAGAATTCTGAAAGTGTAGCATAAAGAACTTAATTTAGTGTTCAATTCATTTAAATGGACATTCCATTTAAGGTTTGACTGAATTGAAAGACCTAAAAATTTTGTTACCTTAACATCAGTCAATGGCACAACGTTCATTTTCAGTGAAGTGCAGAGCTGTTTATTTGAAATGGAAAACTGCACTGAAACAGTTTTATTTTAATTTTCAATTAATTTGTTATTATGGAACCAATTTGAAATATCTGCTATTGTACTATTTACGTCTGGTTATGAAAAACTGTTCTAAAAAGTGCAATTCTCAACAGTTAATGGTTGTCACTGCAGTTTCTGTGAAAAAAAATAAAAATTTTGTTTCATTTCATATTGCAGTTTCATAATCCAAAAATGCCGTATTTTGTGCCAGTTATAACACTTTTTTGCATAACTGACAGTGAAAGTGTTGAAGTGTTTATGACATTACAATCATACACAGAGATAAGCTATCTAATATATCAGTGTAATAATTTTTGTACAAAAATTATGGAAAATTAGTAATTTCCACTCCAAAATATGTAAATATGAAAACATCTTCAATAATTGCCATTGAAGTAGTTTTTGTCATTCTTTTCTTACTTTTAAATAAAATTTTGTGCTCAAGTAAATGCCTGATAATTTTCTAGTACTTTTTTTAAAGTAGTACTATTTTATAAAAAGGATGATGGATAACTCACTGTCAAAACTGGCCAACTGATCACAACATTGAAAAGGGAATGTAATCTATATAAATATAAAATTACCTTTTGAACAAAATAATAATAATAATAATAATAATAATAATAATAATAATAATAATAATAATAATAATAATAACAACAACAACAACAATAATAACAACAACAAGCCACTCCAGATAGCCGAGATCGCTAAGGCAGTAGTGCCATGCCAGTCTTTGACCAAAGGATTTCGGGTTTGAGTCCCACCTTGGGCATGGGTGTGTTAGTATATGTCTGTATATTTGTGTTTTCCATTGTCATATCCATCCATGTCATTCATTATCATCATCATTACATATCCCATACCCCCAGGGCTAGGAACTTTGAGGGAAAGAAATGGATTCAGCATAAGAATGTTGATTCCCTCCACCCAGCCACAAAAAACCACCACACAACCTACCAACTAGAACATAAACTCTTATATCTCTGAAGTTGGAAATGATGAGATGTGACTAGAAAATGCATTGCAAAGCGAAATTATTTTTACAATATTGCACAACAAAACAAATCTTTATAAAGCATTGTTGAAATAACATGAATATCTTCCACATATCTATGCATGCACAATGTGCCTTAAAATGTAACTCACATTTCTTGGGTCCTTTTGTGGCATTTAAGCAAAAACATTACCTACTATTACACATGTGACTTACACAAACACTTTTTCAATATCTGTATCTTTTTTAAATTGTTGATTTAGTCACCCCATACTTTGAAAAATTAAGATCTCAACTTTTTGAGACATACAAATGTTTTAAAAAATTGCATCTACCATGAATTTTTATTGCGGTCATTGATGTTTACGAATGCAAAAATTTGTTGCAATTTAAATATTTGTTTGCAAATAATATCTTTTTTAACAAGTCTGTTACTGTTCCCATTGTGCATGTCCTTAAATTAAGGCAATTTCTTCATGTTATATTCACAATTATAAAACAGACTATTTTGTCCCAAACTTAGTGGCAAATTATTCTAATTATTTTGAAGTTAGGCTTGCTTCATTAGTGGTGAATCCTTGTAGATCTATATGATACTGAAACAATCAGCTTATATCATATATGGTTCAGTCATTTTTATGTTGAATATGACACAAGTAACATACCCTTGCAAGAACTCTTGCATGTTAAACTCTATTCTTTCCCCTATCCTTCCATTTCCATATTAAGCCCATAATATATCCTTTTCTTCAAGTCTCTCTTATCCTCCATTACTTGTTTTATACGTCTCCTTGTAATTGTACTAACTGAATGTATTTTAATATATAAGTACAATACACAGTTTTCAATACAAACTATTCTTATTTAACTTTATTACCAAACAGTGAGGAACACCCATGCAATTCAATC